TTTGAAGTCCAGTCTCCCCCAAGAGCTGCCCCACCCATCTACCATGGCTTGCTGCCTTCACAGTCCTGTGCCAAACTCTCCCAACAGCCTCTGCCTCCCTGGCAAGTCCCAAATCCTGAGATGTGAGGGAAGTGGGGGAAGAAAATAGGGACTGGTGTGATGTAAATCACAGGGACAACTGGGTTAAATAGCCCTCCATCTGTATCAGCTGCCATGTAATGCTACTACAACTGTTAATTAAGCAGAATAATTGTCCCTAAGAACTGCTTTTTAATTTTAGCACACAGCCCTTTGCTCTGGTGTAGCAGGGAGAAGCCCACAGGAGCCCCAGATGAATTGTCTCTACATTAGCCATATTTTTATGGGGTTTTTTTACTATTTCCCCTGGCCAAGCCCTCTCTTATGATGAAGATATCCCTCATTTAATTAACAAAGCATCCCTGCACCACGCAGTCCCCAAGGCAGCAGGCAGCTGCTCAGGAGCAGCAGGCATTTAATCACTGGCCCAGCAGGACAGAGGTGGGACATGTCCTGCCTTGCCCCCCACAACTGCTGGCTCCAAAGACCTGGAATCAGGCTTGGAGGGGGCTGGGGACACCTGCACCCATTGCAAGGCTGTATTTTGGGGGTAGACCATGGGGATCTGTGCACAGCAAAGAGGCAGCTGTCTGCACTGCAGGCACAGGGTCTGCACAGCTTGGCGGGCATCACAGCACTTTCCCCCCAGCCCCTTCTTGAAAATTGGAGCTACTGTGGTGTCTTTTCCCCAGGCTGGGGCCCTGACCCCTCTCCCAGCCCTTCACACCTCACCAGTGCCCAGGCCAGGTTGGTGTGGGCAGAGAAGCCACCTTGCAAGTCATGACTTGGACCTTGCCTTCTGGCTTCTGGCCGTCTTCAACGCCCAGAGGCTTTATGACAACACTTTTCCCTCTTCCCCTTTTTTTTTTTTCCCCTATTTTAATTCCTGGAACTGTTATACACCTTCTGCCCTATGCAGGCAACACTCAGGGCAGACAGATGCCTCCTCCTCCCCTCTCCCCACAGCCCAGCTCTGCTGGAGCAGCAGCAACAGCCCAGCACAAACCTCACGCCGAGCCATAACCAATGGCAAATTCTTCGAGTGAAACGTAATGTGCTGGGAAGCGCCTCACCATTTCACTTGGGAAAATGATCCGTTTGGCAGCAGAGAGGAGGAAAACATGCTTTGTTTTACAAATCCTCTCCCCAGCAGGAGAGACACTCCCAGAATTTAATACACTGACAGCGCTCGGCTGCTTTAACCACTGAAACTCAAGAGTGTGTAAAAAAAGAAGTGATACACTATGTAATATTCAAGCCTGGCTTCTTCTGCAACTGGTGGTGATGGGCACAGCAATCCCTTGGCACAGAGGAGCCACAATTCTCCCACCCATGACAGCTGGCAGGGTTGGGGTGCAGGGTCCCAGCTTTCCTCAAGTCCTGGATGCCTTAATTCATGCAGTTTTCACCCTCTCTTAGGGTGAGGCCCTACAGCAGCTCCCTGCAGGTAAGAAGAGAAGATGCTGCCAGGTAAAGCTATAAAGTTGCTTTGCAACAGAGAAACTGCATTCAAAGTTATTCAGTGCAAGGATTATTCCCATGAAAGGCAACAAGCTCCATCCAGGTGACTGGGAAGCTTCCTGCAACCCCAAACTCTGGCTTGAATAAAATGTTAAGTATTTAATTATATTTCCACTTATCATCCAATGTATTTAACTGCCAAAAGCTTATGTGCAGCATTGGCAAGGGTGGCTTGGGGAAAACACACCTCGCCCAGAGAGGACAGCCGTGTTTTGGGAGGGGATTTTAACTTTGCAGTGTGGAGTTTGTGCTCCAGATAGTTGTCAGTGTTACCAGAGCAGGAGGAAAGAGCAACCAGTATCTCCAACTAAGGAGCCTGTCATTAAACTGGGCTGGCTGTGCCACAGGAGCACATACCCTTTGGAATGGGCACTGCCAGCCCTTGCATGTAGCAATAACGTTGATGTTATTTTGAGGGCAGGCAGTGGGATCAAATTGCCTCTGCTCCGGAGACTGCTCTGAGGAGCAGCCTCAAAGCAAATAAGGCTGTCTGCTGCTCACATTCTTTACCTTTTGGAACAAAAAATAAGTCTGCTTTGTATCTTAGCACTTCTATAGCTGTTTGCAACCTCCAAGCATTCTTGGAAACATGAATTAATCCTTAGAAGAGCCTGTAAGGAAACCAGCATTGCTGTTTTCGGGGCAACATTTCAGGGGAGCAGGATGGATAAATTCAGTGAAATGCAAAAGGCTATGTTGGATGTCAGTGCCAGTGGTGGGGCTGGAAGGGCAGGACCTTTATAAATACAGTTTCTCTGTCCTGCCCTTCAGTTGATCATCAAACACAGCTTTTGCAGGGGCCCTGGTAGGTGGCAGGAGAAGTCCCTTGAACCTCAACTTGCAGGTGATGGGTCAGGCAGGACGTTATGTCAAGTAAAGCTGAAAAGCTGGTCAGCCTCAGGGCTAGCAACATGCTCATCCTGCTCAAAAAAGGGATGGAGCACCTCTTCCCTTCTCCCTCACTAGCACACTGGGCTGACTTCAAAGCTTGTTGAAGCCAGTGGAAAAGCTCCCAGTGACCTAAAAGGCTGGATTTTCAAAAAATAAAGACTAAACTAAACTGAGAGCTGGGCACCAAGTCGCTAGGTTTGCTCAAAACACCCAGTTCTGCATCATCATCATCACGCACCATGTCAGCAGCTATACAGACCAACCACCACCACAGCCCCTCTGCAGTGGACACTGTAACGATGTCTCATGAGACAAGTTCTCTGCCCCACTGTGCTCGCCACAGGGGGAAGCTTGGCTTTCTCCCCAAAAATCCGTTTTCAGGCTGGGATGCAGCAGGAGCTCAGCTGTCAAAGATTCCCACAGCCTCACAGCCCCAGCTCCTTGGAAGCAACAGAGTATTCCTTGCAGCCACTGCTGCACCCCCAAAATGCCACCTCCCAGGAGCCAGCCTGTGGAAAACCACAGAAACCAGGATCTGTTCAGTGGGGCAGCCCACATTCGCCTCCCCAAGGCAAAGAATAATACTGTCTCATTAAAAATGTGCTTTGAGTCTATTATAGTATCTAGGACAAAGTGTTCCCTATTTTGACACTCTAAGATATATTTTATCAGAGCAAGCTCTTCAGAAACACTCATTCACAATGACTTATCTGCCTGTAACAGGTTCCTCGCTTCCCCCTGCATTTTAAAATTAATTTTTAGGGTTGGGGTTTTTTTCCCTAGTCAGCTGGTGGGATGCCCCCATGGTCAGGCTTGTCACTGGGGCAGTCACTGTGACACAGCCAACCTCTGGGGAGGGTGAGGACAGTCCAGAGCATCGCTGAGAAGAAACAGTATCTGAAGCCAGAGAGAACTTGGGAGCAACTCACAGAACTTCACAGGCACTAAGATTTATTCTGGGGGGAGTTGTTTGATATATACACTTTCTAAAATTAGTATCTGCCTTTCTGCCAGCTCCAATGGGCTGCTGGTGCAAAGATAATGCTTTGGCAGGGCTGGGAGGGTGCAACATTTTGGCACAGATCTGCTGCCCAACTCATGGCCACTTCTGCCCTATCAGGTTTTCCTGGCCATGTGCTTCTCCCAGTGTAGCCACACAGATCCTGCACAGAGAGGTCATCACCCCAAAGAGCCATAACCTTGACTCCCAGGGAGGGGGCACATTCATCTTGGAAAAAAGCACCTTATCTCAAGGCTGAGAGTAAATCCTGAGAGGTTTCTATAAAGGAACAAAACACATATGAAACTGTTCAGATTCCTCAGCTGGACTGTGCCAAAGACAGTCCTGGGTCCTGTAAACCAGCTGGGCAGGGACCTTGGCTGATGGGTTAAATGGAAGCATGACTCCCAGGGGGGTGACAAGGTCAGGGACATGCCCTGAACAACATAACCACTTGCTATAAAGTAAAGAGGAACAGAAAATAGGGTGGGGGGGAATGCAAAAAGCAAAACTCAAATACAAAAAACAAGAAGAAAATGGTCGGGGTCTGGCCCAGCTGGAACAGATGGACACAGACCAAACCTATGGGGCAAGAAAGCAGCTCCCAATGCCCAGCAAAGATCTGAGCAACTCTTCCCAGGTAGTAGAACTGGTTACACCAAACAGCTGGGTGCCTTGCAGCCTCCTTGGGAGAAAAAACAAACTTGAAGACCGCACCGTTTTCAGTTTGCATGGAAAACTGTTTTTCAAAGCTACGTGGACCCCAGAGCCTTGAAAATGCCCAGTACTTTGGTCTTTTCATCACCACGTATCAGTAGAAAAGGTTAAATGCTCGTTTGCTGGCTACAGAGCAGTGCTTTTCAGCTGCCTTTCTGTTTGCTCACAGCAACTTTCCGTAGTGTTGCTTCTTAGCTAATGACCAGCTCAAACAGGCTTTCAAGGGGAAAGGTCTCGGGCTCCACACAATCCATTCCCCACTACAGCACAGCACCTCACACACTCATTTCTTCAAGCCCCAGTCAACACCAGCAAAACTCCACCAAGTAATAACGTATCAAAAAAGAACAAGATAAAAAGCAAAGCTGCCAAATCTAGGTTATTTCTGATTCTCAAAAGCTGCTGGTTCAAACTGCCTCAAGGCTCTCACAAATTTGCTTCAAACACCAAACTTTTGGGAAGTTGAGTGGGCTGCACACATTGCAAACCCCAGAGCTACCAGTGCAAAGCGAGGAAGGGAAAG